TTCCATGTTTTGCTTACTAATGGATGCCTGTAGCTGTTTCTTCTCATTTTGAGTAGCCCCATCAGCAAATGAAGGTTCCAAGAACTTTGCTCTGTCTGCATAATTCAGGTTGACTTTACATTGAGGAAGCAGCTCTTTCTCTGTCATGTGTTCAGTGTCTTTCAACCTGAAGGGGCTCTGATACTACGGCAGACAAAGTTCCACTGCCATTCAGAAGGTGTGGTTTTTACTGACCAGTTTTTAAGTAAGAAGCAGATTGTCCGGCCCTTCGTCTTTGCCTGCCTTAGTCTGGAAGCTCTACTGAACCCTGTCTACCATGGATGACCCCACTGGTATTTGAAATACTGTTGGCATATGGCATCCAGCTTCATAGCAACATGCACGCCACCACAGAATGACACACTGACAGATGTGTGGTGGCTGGCAAAGGTAGGAGCCATCAATCAAAATAAAAAAATATAAAAGCAGTCTTAAAGAGGACAAAAATGAAGCCACAGCTTATTTTATAAGAATGTAATTATGGGTTAATGACCTCTGGTGTGACACTATGCTAACTGAAAGGTCAGCAGTTCAAACCCACTAGATGCTTCTTAGAAACCCCGGATAAAGGATCACTATGAATTGGAACCAGCTCAGTGGCCCTTAACAACAATTGCTGACAGTCTTATGTATTAATTTTTCTCTAAGTTTTGCAGTTATTTCAGAGACTTCGTCATTTTAACAGTTCAGGTTAAGACTATAAAGATGTAATGAAGTGCCTATGGTATTTTAAACCAATATCACTATGTATTAAATGCCTTGTTTTTATCCTCACATTACCTAGGTTTTGTCGTTAGGTGCAGTCCTGTTGGCTCCAACTCGTGGTGACCCTCTGCACAACAGAAAGACGCACTGTCCAGTTGTGTACCATGCTCACAGTTGTTAAACAGGAGCCTGTGGGTACACAAGCTGTCTTGTCAGGCTTTTCCTCTTTTATGCAGATCCTCTACTTTACTCAGCATGATACTTGTTTTGTTTTCTTTCACAGAAAAGAGTCCCTTAGAAATGTTATGTGATATATATGTATGTTGATTTTTCACATGGTCTATGGACATTATTGTTCAAAGATGATTGAACCAAATTAGAAAAATGAAGCTGTATCTGTAGAACTGGAAGACGTGGAAAAGAGAACTAGCTTATGGAAATACTTTCTAAGAGAATAAATTCAATACAAGTTGAACCATACATCATTTAATCTTTGTGTCTGGCTTGTTTTGCTCAACACAATGTATTTGACATTCTGAATATGTAATAATCTGTTAATCCATTAATCAATTTGTGGTTTGTTTTCTAGTTTGTGTGTTATAAATAAGGCTTATCTGAAAACTAGTGTGCAAGGGTTTTTTGTGTGTTTCTTGATGTATGTTTTCATTTCTTTTGGACAAAACACTAGACTGATTTCCAAGTAGTTGTATAATTTTACACCTCCCCCTCACCCCCCGCCACCGTAATGCGTGAGAATTCCTGCTACTTTTCATCCTTGTCAACATGTAGTATTGTCATTGGTTTGGATTTTGGTCATTCTAATAAGTCTGGTCCTGGTGTTGCACTCTAGGATAAGCACTGGACTGCTAGTCACAAGGTTGGTGGTTCAAACCTACCAGCCTCTCCTTGGAAACCCTATATGTGGTCATTATGAGTTGCATCTGATTCACGGCACTGGGTGATAACAATGATGTACAAAGTGCCCTCGTAATGTAGTGGGCTGTGCATTGGGCTGCTAAATGCAAGATCAGCAGTTTGAGTCCATCAGTTGCTCCTTGGGAGAAGGATGAGGCTTTCTCCTTCTGTCAAGATGTACAGTTTCCATACAAGCATTCTGTGTGTGTCTATTCTGTAAGCACGCAGCACCGATTTTATCTTCCCACCTCGCAGGTGGCAATGCCATGTAGAGAAAATAAAAAAGATGTAAGCCTCAGAAACCCTATACAGGGTCGGAGCTGACTCAACGGCATACCACCACCACCAGTGCTGTGTGCTGCTGAGCATGGTTTTCACATGTTTACTTTCTATCGGCAGCTATTTTGGGGTCGAGTGTCTGATCTTTTGTTCAATTTTAGTTGGTGGTTTCTTTTCTTATTATTCATTTGAGATAAAAGTTCTTTGTCACAAAAGCATTTGGCCAACTTTTCCCCCTAATCTTTGGTTTGTCTTTTTATTCTGTTAACAATCTTTATCTATTCTGTTGTCAATGCTATACTGTATTGATTACTGTAAGTTAACAGGAAGTGTTGTGTTTTTTTTTTTCACGTTCAACAAATTACATGCTTTGTTTCATCTCAATGATTACAATCCCATCCCAACAATAAGTTACCCTACTTCCTCCTTGTGACTTCCCTTTTGCATCATATATTTCACAAATGAACAAAGCAAAAATATTTGATGTACACATACAAAACAAAAACTCTATATTCCAGTAGTTAAGTCTTGAAGTTAGGTAGCATCTTCTTCCTCAGCTACTGTGTTGGCAATGCTGAGACTTTTCCTTTTCAATTTCGACTTTATAATTTGTTGCCATAAAATACAGAATCAATATCCAGAAAATAACATTCTGGGAGTTAGTTTGAGATTCCATTGAATATATAGATCTAGTTGGAAAGAATTGACATCTTAGTCATTGTGAGTCTTTCTTTTCATGAACATAGAATATCACTCCATCATTTCGATCTTAGGCTTCTTTCATCAAATTTTATAGTTTTCATCATAGAGACTTTGGATATAATCTGTCAAACTTGTACCCAAATATTTGATTTTATTTGGTGTCAGTGTAAATATTCTTAGTACGTTAACTTTTATTTGTAAGATAGTAATTTCATTTTAACATGTTGATTTCATCATGCGTGCTTAAGTTCAAATACATTATTTTGTATTTGAAACAGTAGTTGAAAAATATAACATACATTTCAAAGGTTTTCAAGACAATATATGGATATTTTATATGCTGATATTTTAAAAGAATATTTTCCTGAAGGTTACAGACTAATGTTTTTCAGTACACTGTGCCAAGCATTGTACTGTGTATGAGCATTTAAATTATTTCACGGTCTGTACCTTTCACAATCCTCTGAGGTCGGAGCAGTTGCCTTTACTCAGCAACAGAAGAAAGATGGACTCCAAGTATTGCCTTGCCCCAAGTCACATCAGTTACATGTGATGGAATTAGAATTAGAGTTAGAAATGTGGTAAGCCAAGACTCTAATGCACTTGCTCTTTTAAATATTAAAGAATCAGATAGCCAAATACTTTTAAGTTTTAGAGAATCTATTTTATGTAGTTCTTCTTAGAACCTGCCATCTCTGTTTTTGTTTTTCTTTCTAGGATGTACTGATTCTTACCCTCAAGCTTAGGTTACATTTCTCCATGCTCTGAACACTGGTGTGTATCGTGTTGGATTGAGTAGAATGGGAGTCGTTAATGAAGCTGTAAAGGCGATAAAGTCACTGGTCTTAGGGAGTTAGAGTCTGGGGGACAAAACTTTGAGAAACTGATCATCATCTATCATATTTATAGACACTTATTCATACACTGTCATATTTAAGCATGTAGGCAGATACTTAAGAGTGTATATATTTAAATGTTAAATGTTAATGACGACTTATTAACAGCCTGCGATATGCAGATGTTACAACCTTGCTTGCTGAAAGTGAAGAGGACTTGAAACATTTACTGATGAAGATCAAAGAACACAGCCTTTGGTATGGATTGCATCTCAATGTCAGAAAAACAAAAATCCTCACCACTGGACCAATAAACAACATTCTTATCAACGGAGAAAAGATTGAAGTTGTCAAGGACTTCATTCTTCTTGGATCAACTGTCAACACTCGCGGAAGCAGCAGTCAAGAGATCAGACGACGTATTGCATTGGGTAAATCTGCTGCACAAGACCTTTTTAAAGTGTTGAAGAGCAGAGATGTCAGCTTGAGGACTAAGGTGCGCCTGACCCAAGCCATGGTATTTTCAATAACCTCATATGGATGCAAAAGCTGGACAGTGAATAAGGAAGACCGTAGAAGAATTGATGCCTTTGAGTTGTGGTGTTGGAGGAGAATACTAAAAGTGCCCTGGGCTGCCAAAAGAACCAATAGATCTGTTTTGGAAGAAGTGCAGCCAGAGTGCTCCTTGGAGGCCAGGATGGCTAAGCTTCGTCTCTCATACTTTGGACGTATTGTCAGGAGAGAACAGTTGCTGGAGAAGGATGTCATGCTGGGTAGGGTGGAGGGTCAGAGAAGAAGAGGAAGACCCCCCAACGAGATGGATCAGCTAGGTGGCATCATTGATGGCATCAAGTGTGGCAGTGGTGGTAGGGTTGGCCCAGGATCAGACATTGTTTCATTCTGCTGTGCATGGGGTCGCTATGAGTCAGTTCCAACTCGATGGCACCTGACAACAATGACAACAACATATTTAAATGAGTACAGAGATGTGAGAAAAGAAAAATTGAAAGGTTAGAATAGAAACTTAACAAAAGTAATAAAGGCTAGTGTACTATGTGGAGTCCTGGTGTGGTGCAATAGGATAAGCATTGGACTGCTCACGACAAGGTCGGTGGTTCAAATCCACTAGCTGCTTCTTGGAAATCCTATAAAGAGCTACTGTGAGTCAGCAACAACTCATGAGCACTCACCAACAACAATATACTGTGTGGATTCCAATTTAAAAGCAAAAAGTAATTTCAGAGTGATTTTTTTGGAAGACAAAAAGGGAGAGGAAACTGATGAATCTATCTAGTATTGTCAGTTTTATCAACCAAGTGAACTTTATTTGGAAGACTTTCGGTTAATTTTGAAATTACTGAAGTCATATAACAATCATATTGGCTTATGTCATGGGATCACTAGAACAAGGTTAAAGTTGAAAATAATATTCTCTTTCATATAAGAAGTTGTTTTAATTTGTGTATTCTTGTCAAAGGGAAAAGTAAATTGATAATATTTTTTAATTTGATATTTTTCTTGAAGTTGGATATGAAGGCAAAAATAGTGGAAGCTAAATTTCATGAAGAGAAGCTTAAACTCCAACAGAAACATGACGCTGATGTCCAGAAGGTAAGAGTTGCTGCTGTTGTGACTGAGTGCTGCTGTGTTGGTCCCAACTCATAGAGACCCTGTATAAGGTTTCTGAGGAGCAGCTGCGGGGTTTGAACCATCAACCTTGTGGTCAAAATGACCTTTCAGTCTAGTGCTTATCCCTCAGAGCCACTAGAATCTATTGCTATATATCATTTTTAAGATGAATGAATATAAAAGATGTATGAGGGTAAGTCAAAAAGAATTGGTACAAAATCTCAGAAACCTTATGAAACAAAAATATCAAAACGTGAAGCTGCTGTTTCTCAGCATCGCCTCATCTAGGTCTGCACCCTTCTGAAGGCGGTGTTTCCATCTCTGTAGCCCTTCTCCAAAGAATTCTGTGCGCTTACATTGACAGTGTGTCACAATGGCAGTTTTGGTGTTCCTGAAGGATTCAAATTGTGTTCCTTTAAATATTCTTTGGGTTTTAGGAACAAAAAGAAGTTTGAAGGTGAGTGTAGGGTGGATAAGGGTAAGATTTCGTAACAAAATTCTTGTAGGACAACTCTTGCTGCCCTGGAAGAACGAGCGAGTGCGTTGTTGTGATGAAATAAACAGTCCTCAGCACAACTTTCTTGGCCTTTTTCTTACCCATGTAATTTTCACTTTTCTTAAAACTTCTTCCTTATAAGCCTCCATGATTGTCTTGTGTCCTTTGAGGAAATCTATCAAGATGGATCCCTCTGGACTCCCCCAAAACACTTGCCATGACTTTCTGAGCTGACCTCTCTGCCTTGAAGTGAACTGTCCAAGCAGGCCCCCTTGGACTTTATTTTAGAAGGCACCATAACGCGAGTAAGACCAAGTGTGTTACTGAGAACTTGTCTGCACCCTTGCACTGATGGCACACAGTAACTGAGACACATTGATTTGGAATCAACTTGGGTCTGTGTGAACTTGAGCCCTAGGAGCAGTAGTCTTTCATTTGCCCTCGTATTTGGAAAACTTATGGGAATGGAATTTGAAATAGACTTCTGAGTATTTCTGTTGCTAATATATATTTAAGGAAAATATTTAATTGCATAATTTTTTTCAGGGATTTATTTTCTTAAGTTAATTCTGTGCGAAAAAAGACAGAAATGCAGTTGCCTGAAGTGCCAAGTAAAATGTAAATAAAATCCTGGTCTTCTGCCATATTTGGGAAGTATGCCTATTAGTATGTAACTTATATGACATGTTCTAAGTGTCAGGAATTGGAGGGAGGGTAAAATGTAGTGTCTTGACTACTTTCATACATAATTTTCCTTTCTTGGTTCTTTATGGGTACTGTAAGGAGCTCTGGTAGTGCAGTGGCTAAATGCTTAACTGTTAACTGGCAGATCACCAGTTCAAACTTACCAGGTGCTCCACAGGAGAAAGATGTGACAGCCCACGGCCATAGAGATGCCAGTCTTGGAAACCCTAGGGGGCAGTTCTGCTGTGTCCTCTGAGCTCACTAAGAGCTGGAATTGACTGAAGTGTAATGGGTGTGGTTTTGCTGGTTTAATATGGGCAATATTTGTCTTATTGGCTTCTTTTTCTTATTTATCAGTTACTCGAGATGGCACTGAAACAATGAAGCCCAAACCAAAAGAAACCAAACCACTGCCAATGAGTTTATTCTGACTCATAGCAACTCTATATATGGTTCTGAGACTGTAAGTCTTTACAGGAGCAGATGACTCTGTCTTTCTCCCATCATGCAGCTGGTAGGTTGAACTGCCAACCTCTGATTAGCCGTTCAGTGTTTATCCTATAATGCTATCAGGGCTCCGTAAAACAGTGAAACGTACAGTAAAGTGCTGGTTGTTTTTTTTTTTTAAAGCATTCAGGAAAAGTCAGTTAGACTTTGGTGTGCAGCTTTTTGGTTCAGCTGACTTTGAGTGTTATTATAGGAAATATATTCCAACAATGAGAAAATGTAATATTTATATTCCTTTCTCAGTTTAGCTTTCTTATTCCCTCCTTAGCACATTTTGTTGTTGTTGTCGCTTGCTAAGTTTCCTACATTTTGTTTGTGTATTTTCTTTTTTGGGGGATGGGATGGGGATTTAGGGAGTGTAGATGTATTGAGAAGCATAAAATCATGATAAAATGTTATTGAATTATTAAAATATAAACTTTTGACAAAATATAAATTGCTGTTGTTTATAAGTGCCACTGAGTCCGTTCCAAATCATAGCGATCCCGTATAAGGTTTCTAAGGAGCAACTGTTGGGTTTGAACTACCAGTCTTGCAGTTAGCAGCCCAGTGCTTCTCCTACATTGCCACAGCAGGACTCCCAGTATAAATTAATGATGTAAAATAGTCATGCGATTCTTGACACATTTTTAGCTGATTTTTCCAATTCACAATAGCAGAGCAAGATACCAAAGAAACCTCATAAATGTCATCTTACATGTACGTGGGATTCCTGTTATTGTGCACTAAAATGATACAAGGGCACTGAGGGGATGATGCAGGGGATGCTCACCTAAAAAATGTTCTATTCCCAGGCAGTGGGGACATGAATATTCCTGTCCCAGTATGTCAACTTTCTGATGGCTTTCCTCTGCTATTTTATGACAGTTTAGTCTCTGAATTATATTTTAGAGAATCACCTAATTCATTATTTATAGTCTCCTTAAAAATTTATATATGAAAATTCAAAACAGATAACACTTCTTTCAGATAATGAATCCTTCTAGTACACTTAATAATTTTCTCGGTCTACTAAAATATCACTTTTACAACTTTTTGGTGGGAAAGCACTTAGAGAATTAGCTGAGAGGAATTTTCAAAAGATACTGTGCTCATTTAAGAAAGCTATGTGTTCTGTATTTAAAACAGTACTGGCCACTAAAAGATTTTCAATTTATTTGCAGATTTTAGACAGAAAGAATCATGAACTAGAAGAACTGAAAACTTTATACAAAGCCAAACAAAGCGAAACTGAAGAGACCATTAGGAAGCTCGAAAAGAAAGGTGACGTTGTGTTGTTATGCTCAATTGATTTCGTGGCTGCGGAAAGTAAAATTTGGTTTCTGAGCATTAATAGGATGCGACAGGAGTGTTTAGGTGGACTTCCGTCAATGGATGAGCTTTAGTAGGTTTCCAGCTCTGGTAGCGTAGTGGTTATGAATCGGGCTGCGAACCTCAAAGTCAGCAGTTCAAAACTACCAGCCGTTCTGCAGGAGAAAGATGAGGCTTTCTGCTCCCGTAAAGATTTACAGCCTTGGAAACCCTGTACAGGGTCGCTATGGGTCAGAACTGACTCGATGGCACTTAACAACGACAACAAGATAATTTGGAAGGGATGATTGGGGATAAACTGTGTATGTGCATGTGTGTGTGTGTATGTCTGTGTGCGCACATACATATGTATGTGTGGCAGCAGCGTTGAGCGGGTAGTCGTGGTTGGTTTGGGTAAAGAGTTGGAAGAATCTGTCACTGTTGCTCCCACTGCTTGGTTCTTCTCTGGGTCACTGAGCTTGAACTGCCATCGGTGAGTTGAGTCCAGTCATGAGATGAGGGTTTATTGGTTTATTGGCTTTTTTTCATCAAGAAGTCCATGGGATTGATTCCTGTTTGTCTGGTAGACTTCATTACACTCAGTGTGTACTCCATGGGCCATAGTTGCTAGAATTGTGATTGAGTAAAAGTTATTCTCAAATAGCCCCCATTTGTTCTCCTACTAAGAAGGAAACTGGAGCCTTGATCAGTGTGGAAATGCCCATGATCCTGGGTCAGTACATGTATGTGCAGTGGGAGGTTGTGCTACAGTGTGTTCAAAGTGATTTTTGGAGTAAAGAACCCTGAAATATGGATAAGATTTGACTAGCTGGAGAGGAGCGTTCCCAACACTGAGGCAGAGTTGCTGGTAATGGTGGGTTGTGGACAAGATGCTGCAGGCCCATTTTTCTAGAGAGGACATCCTAAGAGAGATGAGAGAAGATTAAGATACTGACTTGAGACTAGATTAAGCATGACCTCAATTTCAGATTTAGAAGTTTGAACTTTATCCTTTGTGTGTTAGTAAGCCAAAGAATACATTCAAGAGGTGAGTTTTAGGATCTCATGTTTAGGAGGAGTGTTTTGACCATGCTGAGGTACCTTTGGAGTGTGCTGCATTAGTCAGAGGCAGCATGGTGTGAGGCAGAGCGTGTGGGTTCTAATCCCTGCTCTGCTAGTAAGTATTGGATTTAGGACACCAGGCAAAGAAGTCTCTGGGCCTTGGCTTGCTCATTATAAAACGGTGATGTTGGCATAAATAATATTTAAAGTCCCTTCTAACTCCAAATGTTTGCTTCTGTCCTGTCATTTTGTGGCTAATGTGATAATGATCCAGATAGATGGATGATGGCCATTGGATTGATGAAATATTGTTGGTAATGTCATCAAATTGGTTCCGACTCATTGCAGCCCTATGTACAGCCCTGTGTACAGTGCCATCCTCACAATTGCTGCTGTGCTTGAGCCAGTGCTGCTGCCACTGTGTCACTCCATCTCTTTGGGGATCTTCCTCTTTTTTGTTGTCCCTCCACTTTACCAAGTATATGTCTTTCTCCAGGAACTGCTTCCTCCTGATAATATATCCAGAGTATGAGAGACAAAGAATGGGACTGAAGACAGATTTTTGATACACAAATCACTAGGCTTTGATGGATCCCAGATAAGATCTAGGCATTACAGAAGGGGACCAGGGAGGACATGGTTATTGTCTAGGGTTTTCCATATGGGGTTTAATGTTTGCTTCTAAATCACCAAACTTGACTCTATCTGAGTGAATAAATGTCGTTGACAATTTAGGATGGCAACTACATATATGCCAACTAATAAAATATTTTGGATAGTTATATGCAGCTTTAAATGTTGGTAAAAATACCTAGAAATCTGTTTAGATTCTTGCTCCAAATATTATCAGTGGCTATAAAAAATATTTAAAATTTATTGCAAAGTTTTCATTTCTTACCCTGATGCTAACCAGGCAATTCAAACATGCCCAGGGTAGAAAAATAATGTTTATTAAAGGCTTTTTGAATTGCAAACAGACCTTAGTTTAATTTTAGATTTCGTGAAGTAAAATGTGTGGTAGATGTTGAAGACTCGTGTTAAATTCACTTGGATTCTTCTGCTTTCCTTATTTGTGGCATAGTTGAGATATAAGCGTGAAAGAAATTTCTACGGAAATGGTTATGAAAATGTGCTATCTTGAAGTAAATGAACAAGAGCATAGGCAGTAGGCTAAGAAAATAGTATAGTCAAGCCAAACATACAGCTGACTTTATCTTACCATCCAGATGACACAATGATGTCACTGACAGTTTAAATCATTCTGTGAAAAAGGAGATAGGAATTTAAATGTTATAAGGGAAATATTTTATGCAATTTAAAACACATTTCATGTAAGCACATAAGCTGTGGAAATGATTGTCAAGTATCCAGGAGCAGCCGCATGTTGAATTGGTGAGTCCCCTGATTTATTCCTTTCATGCACAGCTGTTTGAACGCTTGCTTGTATGGCCCTGCAGATAAAAACCAGAAATACCTTTGTCCTCAATGAGCATAATCTTATGGGGGAAATAGATGAACAAACACTCAGAACTCATAATATAATATGTGGTTTAATGGAGAAATAGATGAGTTTCTCTGAGGTTAAAGCAAGGAGCCCTGGAGGTGCCGTGGGAAAGTTCTCTGCTATACTAACTGAAAGGTTCAAACCCAGCAGCTGCTTGGTGGTAGAAAGATGTGGCAGTGTGCTTTTCTAAGGACATATAGACCTGGACACTCTATGGGCCGCTTCTGTGTCCTGTAGGGTCACTGTGAGCTGGACCTGACTTGATGACAGTGAGTTTGGCATTTTTTATTTTCTGTATCTTTTTATGGGAGTAGGAGTCCTGGTGTGGCGCTGAGGGTTAATGTGCCAGACTGCAAAGTCATTTGAACTGCAAGGTTGGCGGTTCAAGCTCACCAGCTGGTTCTTGGGAACCCTATACAGGGTCCCTATGGGTCAGCACTGACTCAACAGCACTTAACAACAACACCAACAACAGCATAGTGATCACAGGAGAATTCCTCTCTATCCCTGCAAAGGGAAAAATAGAGTTGGTGAATAGTTCATAGAACGTGTGCTGCTGAATTTGAGACCCCAAGAATGAATAGGCGCTTTTCAACTAGAGGGAAAGGTATTCCAGTTGTTGTTGTTGTGAAGTGCCATCAAGTCAGATTCCAACCCTTAGTGACCCGGTATAGGGTTTCCAAGGAGCAGTTGGTGAGCTTGAACTGCTGACCTTGCAGTTCAAACGGCTTTGCAGTCTGGCACATGTACAGGAAGTGATATATGAAAGAATGTGTCCTGAAGAATCTCCATACTGGGTGGTGTGCTTACCATTCAGGTAGTAAGTGTGTGGCTGCAGGGTAGCAGGAGCCTGAGGAGCTAGTTTCTATATCCAAAGCTTCGGACCTTTGCCTTGAGGTGAGAGGGACTGCAGAACAGTTTCGAGTCCAGGAATCACAGTGTTGGATTTGCACTGTAGAAAGGTCTTGTTAAAGCAAAGGAGGGTACTAATTAGAGAGGAACGACACTCAAGACTCGCACACAGTTAAAATGTCTAGGGAGTCAGAGATGACAAATTCAACCATGGCTTTGGCAGTAGGATGGAGAAGAAGAGAGAAAAAGAGACTTAAAGAAGGCTTGGTGGAAAACGAAACGATCTTTTAGCTGGTACATACTGGATTTTATATAATCAGACTCTTGTGTGGTATTTAGAATTGGTTTAACTATGTTTTCATCATCTTTGACAGTTCAGACCCTTATCCGTGACTGTCAGCTTATCAGAGAGACTAAAGAAAACCAGATTGCAGAGCTTAAGAAGATTTGTGAACAAAGTGCAGAATCTCTGAATAACGACTGGGAAAAGAAGGTAAGCCGCAGAAGATCGAACACAGTGATAGGAAATAGAGGTACACAGGGCTCCTCAAAGTATCAGCTTAGTAGTTCAGACTGAAAAATAATGGTAAAAATAATATGGATTCATGGTAAAAAATACAGTGAAGTATGAGAAAGGAAAATACAAATAACATCATTTATTATTGCTTAGTGGGTGTTGCGTTTCTGTGAATGATAGTGGGATCATTTGGAAGAAGGTGGCAGATTAGTGGTCATACAACATGATGAATTATAATCCGGGTCACTGAATTCTACATGCAAAAATTGTCGAACTGGCAAATGATGTGCTATGTATATTTTTACCACAATTCAAAAAAGTATCTTAAAATTCTGCCATCTAGAAATAGCTATTGTTCATGTTCTGGGATATTTTCTTCTGGTGGTGGTGGTGTGCCGTCAAGTTGGTTCCGACTCATAGGGACTCTGTACTGGGTTTCTGAGGCTGTAAATTTGTACGGGAGCAGAAAGCCTCATCTTTATCCCACGGGATGGCTGGTAGTTTGAAACTGCTGACCTTGAGGTTACCATCCTGACTCATAACCACTATGTCTTAATTCTTTATAACAAACATTTTCATATAGAATGCTGACTTGACTAGCTCTTTAATTTAATTAGTGTTCTAAATTTTCTGTCGTAGAGAATCTGAGATAAGCAAACTTAATAAGGAAGTAACAGTAGGACAATATTTAGAAATTAAGCCATTTTATTTTTGGATTTAGGCCATTGGGTCATTTCTTTCCTGATATTTTGATAATACAGCATCATCTGTACTCTAGAATTTAAAGTATAACTTGTTTTTGATAAAAACAAAGTCATTACTGGAGGAACATTTAATTGGATAAAGAAAAAAAGGAGTTCCCATTGGTCTCTACTTGTTTGGAGCAAAAAGCAAAAGAAAAAAACCAAAGACTCAGAGAATCACCTAGTCTACAGAACTAATGATGTTCACAATGACCTCACCAACTTACCACCTTCATACCACTACTGACCATTCCGACCAGCTACTCAATAAACGGTCTTGGAAAGGATGGGATAAAATCAAGAACAAAACACAGATTCCTAAAAAGAGGCCAGACTTACTGGACTGGTAGAGACAAGGTGGACTCCCTATATCATCACCCTGGGATACTCTTTAAATGTTTGTTTTTTTTTAATTTAAAGCTTTTATTTTAAATTGAGTGATAGTTTACATGGGAGAGCATCAGTTTTGCACTCAACCTATTGTATTTTGTTTCATTGCAATGATTACAGTCCCCTCAGTTAATAGCATCTGCTTCTATTCCCTCTGGGTTTTTTGGTTTGTTTGTTTTTGTTTTTATGTACACAGAATCATGCAGGAATATATAATCGTTCAAACAATCAAAGAGTACATTCGCAAGCCAGCCTCTTGGCTGCCAGCACACAGCCTTTCTCTTTCTAGGAGTCTTAGGGTCCTCAGCTACTCTCTGTCCATGCTGTCATTTCTGTCTCTGGTATTACTGCTTCTCTGTTTAGGGTCCCATGTTCCACTCATGTGCATCTCTCTTGTTGGTTGTAGGGTCCTCTGTTCCTGGAATGTAAGATTAACTACACCCCCCTTTTTGTTACTTGACTTCTACCTTTATAGTTGTGACAATTGCAATTAGTCATGATAACAATTACTATTGAATTAAAAGAATCCTATCCCCATCTCCTTTCCATCAGACCCTTCTAGATAAGATGAAAACAATTCCGTGGAGATTCTACATTCTCCTGCACACTCTAGACCTGAGCTCCCTCTTGAAAACATATAATTCAGCCACTTCACTGGAATACTCTTTAAACTTAAAACTCAGACAACTCCTATTGGCCCATAAAAAGATAATACTTTCTGTGAGTGCTGTGCTTCTCTAAATAATCTGTAAATGAAACAAAATGGTTAAATATTTACCCTACACCAAAGATAAGAGAAGTAAGGGTGTATAGGGAAGCTAGATCAGTGGAAACAGAGCAACCAGAATGGAGATAATGAGAAAGCTGATGTTGTGTGATAAATGTAACCAATATCCCTGAATGATATGTATGAGACTAAATTGTTAAAAAGAACCTAATTTACCTTGTAAACTTTAACCAAATACACAATGATTTAAAAAAAAAATTGAGAAAGAAAAAATATTTTCTACAGAGAGAGTACACCAGAGGGTGGGACCATTGGTCCTTGTGGGCCATATAAGGTCCATGAAATCATTTGTTCTGTCCATGCCAAGGCAACCACAGTTCCAGCCATCACGTTGTTGTTAAGTGCCGTTGAGTTGGTACCGACTCACAGCGATCCTGTATAAGGTTTCCAGGGAGCAGCTGGTGGCTTTGAACTGCCGACCTTGTGGTTCACAGTTCAGTGCTGATGCTCCAGCACCACACCAGGCCTGTAAATGATGTTATAAAACTTGGCAAAGAATAGGCTCCACAACCCTGGTGCACATATCTGCTTGTATTCTTGATCTCAGTTCTTTTGGATACCTACGTAGGAATGGAGTTGCCGGATCATATGGTAGTTCTGTGTTTAGCTTTTTGAATAAGTTCCAAACTTTTTCCCACAATGACTCCCATTTTACAATTCCTCTGGTAATGGATGAGCGTTCCAGTATTCATTGTACCACTATTCACAATAGCCACAAGGGGGGAGACAGCCCAGGAGATGAATTGATAAACAGATTGTGGTAGATACAAGCAATGGAAAATCACCCTGCCATCAAGAGAACTAGAACTCACCCTGTTAAGTGTGCAATTTACTCCTACTTAGTTAGCCGCAAAGCTGTGCACCCGTCACCACGATCTAATTCTAGAAGATTTCCATCATTCCATCATCCCAGAAAGAGACCCTACACCAATTAGTAGTCACTTTCCCTTCCCGCTTCCCTGTCCCCAGCAATCACTGATCTCGTTTCTGTCTCTACAGATTTGCCTATTCTGGGTATTTCTTATAAATGGACTCCTGCCGCTTGTGGCTTCTTGTGACTGTCTTCATTCACTTCTCATTTTGTAGCACACATCTGTACTTTCCTTTGCTGGCTGAATAGTGCTCCATTGTGTGGTGGTACCATGTTTTGTTGATCCATCCATCAGTTGACAGACAATTGAGTTGTTCCCATTTTTTTGATATCATGAATAATGATGCTATAGACGTGAGCTTCTGTGTGGACGTGTGTTTTCACTTCTCGTGGGTATATACCTAGAAGTGGAATTCCTGGGTCATGCGGTAACTGTGTGTTTAACTGTCTGAGGAACTGCCATACGGTTTTCTATAGTGGTTTCACCATGAATCTGTCTGCAGGCATTTGCACATTCTTTTCTCTCAGTTTGAAATGGACTCCAGTTCCGAGTCTCTTCTGGTATGTGACTGCTCCACAGGTAAAAGTTAATGGCCAACCCTAGGTAAAAATCCCTTGGTGGTTTGATGTGTGTAAGGAGCCCTGAGAGTGTAGTGGGTTAGAAGTTCCAATCTATCAAATACTCCACGAAGAAAGATGAGGCATTCTGACCCCTTAATGATTTACAGCCTCGGAAACCCTGTACAAGATCTCTGTGAGTCGGAACTGACTCTGTGGCACAGATCACCACCACCATAAACAGCCAGAACTGCACATGCTAATCTCTGAAACCCACGGGTCTTTTCTGTGGCTATACCTGAGCCCTGCTCATGCTTCTTGCTCACTAAAAGCTGAAAGGAAAGATCTTTCCTGTAATGTGTCTTATTGTCAAGCCAGCGTCTACACTGCATGTGTCATATCCTTGCCTCCCTCCCCTGTTCATTGTTGGGGAGTGAAGTATATCATTTAGACTGTTTTGAGGTGAGCTCTTGCTCTCCCCACTCATTGAGCAAGCCTGAGATTGGATGCAGGAAGTAGGTCCTGGACTCAGAATCCCACTCCCATGAAGCTGAGTCAAGAAGACCCACACGCTAGAGGCGTGATTTCCAAGCATCTTTGGAAGCTGTCCGTTAGCCTTTTTATGGACCTCCCATGTTTGCTTTCTTTCTCTTAGTGTGCTCATGGACTTTAAGGCTTCAGCCATTTGGACAGTACAGTACCATGAAAATCCTTACTGATGAAGACTCGTGGACATCAGGACACATAATACACTGTGCTCCTTAACGTCTGTGGACTCTTGATTTGATTTGTAAATGCAATTTTGCTTCTACTTTTGGACTTATTAAGTAATGACTAAAAGTAGCAAATAATACGAGAAGCTGGGTTCTATGAAGAAAAACGTGGCATCAGGATTGGAGGAAGACTCATTAACAACCTGCGATATGCAGATGATACAACCTTGATCGCTGAAAGTGAAGAGGACTTGAAACATTTACTTATGAAAATTAAAGAGCACAGCCTTCGATATGGATTACATATAAATGTCAAGAAAACAAAAATCCTCACCACTGGACCAATAAACAACATTCTTATCAATGGAGAAAAGATTGAAGTTGTCAAGGACTTCATTCTTCTTGGATCAACTATCAACACTCGCGGAAGTAGCAGTCAAGAGATCAGACGACATATTGCACTGGGCAAATCTGCTGCACAGGAACTTTTTAAAGTGTTGAAGAGTAGAGATGTCAGCTTGAGGACTAGGGTGCGCCTGACCCAGGCCATTGTGTTTTCAATAGCCTCATATGGATGCGAAAGCTGGACAGTGAATAAGGAGGATCGTAGAAGAATTGATGCCTTTGAGTTGTGGTGTTGGAGGAGAGTACTGAAAGTGCCATGGACTGCCAAAAGAACCAATAAATCTGTTTTGGAGGAAGTGCAGCCAGAGTGCTCCTTGGAGGCCAGGATGGCTAAACTTCGTCTCTCCTACTTTGGACATATTGTCCGGAGGAAACAATCGCTGGAGAAGGATGTCATGCTGGGTAGGGTGGAGGGTCAGAGAAAAAGAGGAAGACCCCCAATGAGATGGATCAGCCAGGTGGCATCATTGATGGACTCGGGTGTGGCAGCGGTAGTGAGGTTGGCCCAGGATCGGACATTGTTTCGTTCTGCTGTGCATGGGGTCGCTATGAGTTGGTTCCTACTCGATGGCACCTGACAACAACAACAACAAAAGTAGTTTTGTGGGGGGTTAGGGTGGGAGATAAAGCCATTGTTAACATTGCTTTTGTATAAAATTCCATGCAAACAAGATGAATAATGCAGACATTGCAGTGATATTAATCAATGGGTAGCCAAACCAGCATTTCTAAGAATTTATATGTGTACTATTGTGAGGCACTGTAGGATAAACACTGGACAGTTAACTGCAAGGTTGGCAGTTCAAATCCACGAGCCGCTCCTTGGAAGCCCTACACAGACAGAGTCGTTCTGATAGAACCAACGTGACAGCACTTAACAACAATAACAACAGAAGTGCATAATGATATAACATATACTTCCATATATTATATATTGTTGATAATTATGTAATATGTAATAATATATGATTGTTGTTGTTGCTAAGTGCCTATGAGTCGGTTCCAACTCATAGTGACCCTGAATATGATTTCCGAGGCTTTAAATCTTCTTGGGAGCAGAGAGCCTCATCTTTTTCCTGTGGAGTATCTGGCACGTTTGGATGTCCTTGTGGTTCATAGTCCAGTGTTTATCGTATGGCACCAGCATGATATATATAGGGTCACTATGAGTTGGAATTCTCTCAACAACACTTAGCAACAATGGCAATATATATTCTATAATAATAGAATGTTATAATAATAATAAAAGGAGCTCTGGTAGCATAATGGTTACGAATCAGGCTGTGAACCTGAAGGTCAGCAGTTCGAAACTACCAGCTGTTCTGCAATAGAAAGATGCCATTGAGTCAGTTCCAACTCACAGCAGCCCTATATAGGGTTTCTGAAGAGCGACTGGTGGGTTTGAACCACTGGCCTTGGGGTTAGCAGTCTGCTACAGCACCACACCAGGACTCCAGAATATATATTATATACAATATAATATAGTATATATGAGGCATTATACTACCTGTCTGATTGATTTACTAGGTCCACCGCAGACAGATCATTCCTGGCGTGGCACTGTAGAATCAGTGCAGAACTGTGAACCACAGTGTTGGCAGTTCAAACCTGCCAGCTGCTCCTTGGAAACCCTATGCAGGGTTTCTCTAAGTCGGAACTGACTTGACGTCACTTAACAACAACAACATTGAACTTTTTAATTCAGGAAAGCAAAGAAAAGCAATAAGGTTTGTTATTCTTGTTCTTTTATGGTATCTTGATTTTGAATGTGTATTTGTGGATTTTATAGCTTTTTGAGTTTCAGGTTGTCATACAAATATGTAGAGGAATATAGGGAAACATTTTTTCCCCTGAATTGCAAAATAGTCTATTCGATAGTAGTGATAAAGTCAACTCTTAATTTCATTGGCTAGCTTCATAGTGCTGTAGCAGACATGGAAAAGGAAAAGTTTGATCTTCAAAAGAAACACACTGAAAATATTCAAGAATTGCTTGAGGACACAAACGTTCGTCTGAATAAGATGGAGGGTGAATACATGGCACAAACACAGGTCACGGTAAGTCTCTCATTTCGTTCCTTTTCTTACCAATTTTAGAAGCTTGCTCTTCGTCTCTGTGCCTCATGTCTACCTCATATGTGCAGTGTAGAAAGAAAAGTGCTATGGGAGTTTTAAAGCCTGCCGCTCTGCTTGAAACAGATTTGTGTGTGAAAATGGACTGCCCCTTGCAGTTTGCTCAGGGATTGACGTGTTACAATGCCATTTAAAAAAAAACTTGTTTTAGACCCCGTGACCTTTATATATCTTTGTCATGTTGCTTTCATTGATTTTTAATCCAGAGATTTTTTTTTTTTTTTGCTTCTTTCCTTTCTCTTTCCCTTCCAGATTTTTTCTCCCTTGTACTTATTAAAGACTTGTTTATTTTTCTAAAAATGTATACTACTAGTGCCAGCAACAATGGAGTAACATTTAAAAGGTAAACAGAAAAGTATGTGATCAAAAATGGTTTTCATATATAAAGGATACAGGCAATTTGAAGTTGAGCAAATATCTTTGATTTTTAGATATGATGAATGTTCCTGTAATATTTCTAAGTGTTGGTTTTGGGAAATTATTTGGGCCCTTTAAATCTGTGTTTTTTCATCTTTCATTAGTTTTGGGAAATTCAATTACATTATTTCTTCAACTAGATCTACCTGTAGGTCATATTTATGTATTCGATCCCTGTAAATTGTCTTGCTATTCTCTGCTTCTAGTATAGTTTTTCATTTTGATCTTACTTTATGACAATGAATTCCAGAGGTTTACATATATATGTCGATCGAAGACATTTATTTATTTCATTTGGAGAACATTTATCAAAATTTTACTGTATATCAGTTTCTTACCAAGACACTGCTGAAGGCACTAATACATAGAACACTGCGCCTGCTTGTTGTTGTTGTTGAGTTGATTCCAACTCATGACAACCCATGAGTTACAAAGTAGAACAGCTGGGTACGGTTGTCTTGGCTGTAATCTTAGTGACAGCACATCACCAGACCTTGTGGTCTGTTGTTTTTCTGGGTTCTTAAAAGAGCATAATTCTCAAGGTAGGTTTTTTTTTTTTTTTTTACTCTAGAAGCTAAACTAGTCTCTGATTTTAAGATGATTTCTGGGGATTTTTTTGGTTTAAGGTTGAAGAGGATCTCAGGACAGCAGTATCAGGGTTCCTCCACTCTCTATGGCTCCAGAAAGTCCAGAGTCCAGGAGAATGGAAATTCCTTCTTGCATTTGCTCTCTTTTGGTTAGGATTCTCCTGTGAAATCTTTGATCAAGACGTTCAGTAATAATAGACAGGCGCCAACTGGTTCTTCAGGTCTTATGGTGAAGGAGACAGTTGTTCACGTAGGAAATTAGCCACACAGTGCATGTCCTCCTCCTATTTTTTTTTTTTTAAATTTTTTTATTGTGAATGATGTAGGTTTACATGGGAGAACATGAGTTTTACAATCATCCTATCGTATTTCATTTCATTGCAATGATCACAATCCCCTCCATGCTTTGTCAAATAAGCTTCTTGGTATATTTTGCTTATTATTTAACCTTTTTTTTTTTATAGTTAATGTTTTTATTCTTTAAACAAGTTGTTTTACATTTCTAATATTATTCTTTATCTTCTTAAATATATTTCTTAGCATAAAATTCTTGGTTCATCGATTCTAATAATAATGCTTCAGAATACTGTATTACAAGCTATAAACTATAGTATGTTATATGCCACAGATCACCAGTCATCTGTCAGTTTGTCGTGCTCTGGTGACTAGTATGTTGCTGTGTTGCTGGAAGCTATGCCATCAGCATTTTAAAGCCAACAAGGTCATCCATATTGGACAGGTTTCAGCAGATTTTCTAGACTAAGACAGCCTAGGAAGAAGGGAGGTGAACTACTTCTGAATGTTTAGCCACTGAAAACACTATAAATAGCAGGGAAACATTGTCACATATAGTGGCAGAATATGAAAAATTATGAATAGCACTAGAATATTATAAAATATAGTGCCAGAAGATGAGCCCCTCAGGTTGAAAGAACTCAAAATGGGACTGGGGGAGAGCTGCCTCCTCAAAGTAGAGTTGAACATTATGATGGGAATGAAGTAAAGCTTTGGGGACCTTCATTTACTGCTGGGGCTCAACTCAAAATGAGGAGACGTAGCTGCAAACGACCATTAATAATCAGAACATGGCATGTATGAAGTATGAATCTAGGAAAATTGAAATTGTCAAAAATGAAATGGAACACATAAACGTTGATATCCTAGGTGTCAGTGAGCTGAAATGGACTGGTATTGACTATTTTAAATCTGACAACCACAAGGTTTACTATGCTGGAATAACAAATTCAAGAGGAATGGCATCAGATTCATCAACAAAAAGAATAAGATTTATCTTGAAGTACAATGCTGTCTGTGATAGTATAATCTCCATAAATTTACAAGGAAGATCAATTAATACCACTATTACTCAACTTTACATACCAAACACTGAAGCAGTGATGAAATTTCATTCTGAAATTGATCAAACATGCAATCACGATGTATTAATAATTGTTGGGGATTGGAAAGCAAAGGTTGGAAACAGAGGAAGGATCAGTAGTTGGAAACTGTGATCTTGATGATAGAAACAATGCTGGATTTCACATGATAGAAGTTTGCAAGACCAATGACATCTTCATTGCAAATACCTTTTTAAGCAACATAAAAGATGCTTACACACATGGACCTCACCAGATGGAATACACAACAAACAAACTGACTACACCTGTGGAAGGAGACTGTCTAAAAGTCCCATAGCATCAGCCAAAACAAGGTCAGGAGCCATCTGGAGAACATACCATCAGTTGCTCATATGCAAGTTCAGGCTGAAGCTGAAGAAAATGAAAACAAGCCCATGAGAGCCAAAATATGACCTAGAATATATCTCACCTAAATTTAGAGACCATTCCAAGAACATGCTTGATGAATTAGACACTAATGACCGAAGTCCAGGAGAGCTGTGATATTACATCAAGAATATCATACGGGAAGAAAGCAAAAAGTCACTAAAAAAACAGGAATGAAAGAATAGATCACAGTGGATGGCAGAAGAGACTGAAACTGGCTCTCCAGCACAGAGATGCTAACGTGAATGGAAGAAATGAGGAAGTGAAAGAGCTGAATAGGAAATTTCAAAGGGCAGCTTGAGAAGACAAAATAGAGTATTATAATGAAATGTGAGAGGACCTGGAGTCAGAAAACCAAAAAGGAACACCACACTCAGCATTTCTCAAGCTGAAGGAACTGAAGAAACAATTCAAACCTCAGCTTGCAATATACCATATCATCAGTGAAAACAAGGCCAGGGGCAGACTGTGGAACAGACCATATTACTCATAGGCAAATTCAAACTCAAGCTGAAGAAAATGAAAACAAGTCCACAAGAGCCAAAATATGATCTTGACTATATCCCACCTGAATTTAGAGATCATCTGAAGAACAGATTTGATACATTAAACACTAAAGACTGAAAACCAGAAGAGTTGTGGGATGACATCAAGAACATCATA